AACACCTTATGTGCATGTATGAAATTCTCAATGTTTTTGTAAAAGTTAAAAAAATGTTGGCTGGGCATAGTGGTGCACACCTTTAATTCCGGCACTCGGGAGGCTAAGGCAGGTGGATCTCTGTGAAACTGAGGCCAGTCTGGCTTACATAGCAAGTTGCAGGCCAGCTACAGAGACCCTGTCTCAAAAAGAAAAAAAATTTAATAAAGTAGACTATAAAAAAAAATGCTACCAACAAGAGCAGAGCAACACTTCCAGTTTTGGATAGGCAGGAACAGCTGTATAGTCACAGCTCTGTGCCTTATTAACCTGCAACAGAGAATGGTAAAGCACATATAAACATAGATCAATTGAAAAGCATGTTATGAGGCTGGAGAGATGGCTCAGTGCTTAAGAGTACTGGCTGCTGTTGCAGAGGACCCAGGTTTGATTCCCAGCACCCACAGGGTGACTAATAACCATCTATAACTCCAATTCCAGAGGATCTGCCATCCTCTCCTGGTCTCCTCAGGCACTGCATGCATGGGTGCACTTATATACATACAGGCAAAACACTCATACACATAAAAATAAAATAAATAGTTGGGCGTGGTGGTGCACACCTTTGATCCCAGCACTTGAGAGGCAGGGGCAGGCGGATCTTTGTGAATTCGAGGACAGCATGGTCTACATAGTGAGTTCCAGGACAGCTGGGTCTACAAGGAGACCCTGTCTCAAAAAGACAAAAAAATAAAAAATAAAAATAAAATAAATTTAAGGAAAAAGCATGTTATGTTTACAACAAGTAACAGCATTATTTCCCATGACAAGGACATCTACAAGAGAGGTAGGACATGATACAACTAAATATTTGGATTTTATTTTATTAATTTGTTATTTTTATTTGTATATGAGTATATTGCCTAAATGTATGTTAAGTGTGCCCGTGTCATGCAGTGTCCATAGAGGTCAGAAGAGGGTTTCGGATCCCCTAGAACTGGAGTTATAGACAGATGTTTACCACCATGTAGGCAACTGGGAACCGAACCCAGGTCTTCTTCAAGAGAAGCTAGTGCTCTTAACTGCTGAGCCATCTCTCCAGCCCCCACTGTTGCACTCTTGAACTCACAAGGCCCCACCTTCTCTGAGGATTTACAGGCAGTTAATGATTGCCGGGAAGAAACATGTTTTTTTCAGCGGAGCAGCCACTGGTAAGGTGTTTTTGCTCTTCTAAGCAAGCCTAATGAAACTCATCGGGGGTCACCAAAATTAAATAAATAAAACTATTTTAAAAAGACAAGAGGGCTGGAGGATAGCTCAGCAGTTATGAACACTGACTGTTCTTGCAGAGGACCTAGGTTCAGTTCCAAGCATCCACAGGGTGGCTAACAACCGGGTGCACTTACACACATGCGGGCAATACACTGAGAGACATAAAATAAAAATACTTATTTTTTAAAAGACAAGAAAGTAGAAGGAAGACTAGTTGAGAAGAGAAGGGGGATCAGCAGGAATGGGAGGGAACAAGAGAAGGAAATGGGGAGGTGAATCTGATCAAATACATTGTATGTATGCATGAAGATGTCAATGAAACCCAAACTGTATATAATTAATGTATGCTAATAAAAAACTAAAATAAGAAGAGGAATAGAGGCACACGCAGTTTAGTGGTACAGCACTTGCCTGTCATGTACAAGGCCCTAGGTTCAATCTCCAGCATTGTAAAACTAAGTATTTAAACAAAATATAAAATGAAAGGGGGGGCGTCATACTTTTATAACTTCAAGTATTTATTTTTATCAAAATTAATTTGGCAGCAAATGAACATATACTACTACTACTACCACCACCACCACCACCACTACTACTACTGGCAGTAATACAAACATTTAACATTTATTTGAACTCCTACTTTAAGAATAAATTGCAGAGCCAGGTATGGTGGCACACGCCTTTACTCCAAGCACTTGGGAAGTAGAGACAGTCAGATCTCTGCAAGATCGAGGCCTAGTGAGTTCCAGACCAGCTGGGGCTACAGGGAGCCCTTGTCTTGAAAACAAACAAATTGAAGCTGGGTGGGTTGAAGCAGGAATACTGCTTCAGGCCATCACTTCTATGACAGCTGGGGAAACAGTGAGATGCCCCCATCTCAAAAATACATAAATAAGTAATATACAGATGTAAGTTAAAAAGTAAAAAGATGGAAAAAATAAATTAACTCAAAAAAAGCTGGACTCATCAAAAATTTTAAAACATTTTAAAAAACTGAAAAAATAGCATTTTTGGCAAAAACTATGTACTCTATATATTATATATGTACATATATATTTTTGGGGGGGGTCTTTTTGAGACAGGGTCTCCCTGTAGCCCCAGCTGGCCTGGAACTCACTGTGTAGACCAGGCTGGCATCGAACTCACAGAGATCCACCTGCCTCTGCCTCCCAAGTGCTGGGATCAAAGGCATACGCCACCATGCCCAGCCATGTACTGTATTTTTTAAATATTTAATTAATTTTATGTGTCTGTGCATTGCCTGCATGTACGTAAGTGAACCCATATTGTACAGAGCCCACAGAGGTCAGAAGAAGGCATTGGATCCCCTGGAACTGGAATTACTTATGGTTGTTAGCTGCCATGTGGGTGCTGGGAACTGGACAAAGCCCAGTCCTCTGGAAGAGCAGCCAGTGCTTTTAACCCCTGAGCCATCTCTTCAGTCCCTGGGCAGTATTTTTAATTAAATACCTTAAAAGAGCTTGTTACTTCAAAGAGGAAGTCTTCAACATAAACTGCTTTTGACTTTTAGAAACACCAAAAAGGGAGGAAAAGAGCTGGAATAGTAATATGAATACATACTGAAAATGTACCTCTTTGTAATACATAATTTTAGGAACTGTCTTTTGGCAAAATCATAGTCTATTGTTATCAATAATGGGACAACAAAATCGGGCAATTAGAAAGAAAACAAAATAGAATCAAAGACTGAAGGAGGCCATTCCTAGAATAAAATTACCAAGACTAAATTATTAGATATCTTAGTTAGACTTTAAAAGTGGCTGTTTCTTATATAAATGAAGAACAATCCTTGTAGCCATTGGCTATCCACTGACAGCAACATGAAGTTTCCATGGTAACAGGATTCCACCCACTTACTGTCCTACCTTTCTCAAAGAACAGTCTGTAGTCAATAATTTTCATTTTAGTGGAGAATTTACTGATGATATAAAGAAGTTACAGGAGAAAAGTGCCCTCAACATAACTGTACTAGGGAGGATGAGACACATAGAAACTAAAGAAAAAGATATATACTGTTTCTTTCATTTTCTGAAAATATGTATTACTAAAACAAGTGAAAGTTAACTTCTACACAAGTATTCAGAATTTTGTATCTGTTAGTAGTAAAAATAACAGCTTTATCCCTAGGAAGTGCAGTGAATATTAGCATAATAAATGTTTTTTTTTTAAATCCAGATTGGGAAAGCTTCATTTCAGGGCAATTTACTCAACCACGACCCCTTACATCACCTTCTGAGGAATGGTGCTAAGTAACAATTTTGCTGATTGTAGAAATATAGAGAATTTCCCAGACCCATGCCTGCCATCACTCTTTTTTTTTTTTTTGGTTTGAGATAGGCTTCATACAGTCTAGCCTAGTCTTAAACTATAATCAAGGATGACCTATGACCTTAAATTCCTGATCCTCCATTTCTGCAAGTTATCTCCCTTGGCTAGCAAAGAAGCCTGATCCAAGTCTTGGACAGTAACTGTGGTCTCCAGTAGTTACAGTAATTTTTTTGTGTGCCTCTTTAAGACACGGTCTCCCTGTAACCCCAGCTGGCCTGGAAATCACTTGTAGACCAGGCTGGCCTTGAACTCAGAGATCCCCCAGCCTCTGCCTCCTGAGATTTGGGACTAAAGGAGATCTGGGACTAAAGGCGTGTAATACCACGCCTAGCTTTTTTTCTTTCTTTTTTTTTTTTTTAACATGGGCTGGAGAGATGGCTCAGCTGTTTAAAGCACTAGCTGCTTTTGCAGAGGACCCGGGTTCGAGTCCTAATATCCACGTGGTGGTGAAACCACCACCCGTAACTCCAGTTCCAGAGGATCCGACGCCCTCTCCTGACCTCGGTGGGCACTGTTCGACACGGGTGCGCTTTACACACAGGGAGGGACTATACTCCTACACCTAGATCCGCCAGCCTCTGCCTCCTGTGTTGAGATTAAAGGCGTGCACCGCACCCGGCTGGCTTCTATTTTGTCACTTTCCTTTCTGTTCCTGGAAACCGCAGGCACTATTAATTCTGCGAGCCCTGGCCGAGCCTTTCACCCAAGAGGGCGCACGGAGAACCAACCGATCGACCAGAGGTGCAGAGTGGGCTTGAAGGCCATACCAGGGGACAGACACCCTCTGGTAGACCGGTGCCACAAATGACTGATAAGCCAACGACTTCTAACCAGAGTTCCGAGCCGAAGGTGGACTAGTACTTGGTGGAGTGAAGAATCCTAAACTCGGTTCTTCTAGGCACTCGTTCATGCACTAAGAAGCAGCAGCAGACAGCTACGCCCAGCATCTTAAGCAATCACCTGCAGCAGGGAGACCGGATGGTCAGAACCAGCCCAGGTTTCCCGAGAAATAGCCCCGCCTCCCGCCTGGCTCCGCCCGCTGTGCCTTTCCCGCCAAAGGCCGTTAGCGCCGCAGAGCATGGTGGGACGAGGTTGTAGGCTTCGTTTCACTGGTCTTTTCAGAGCGCCGAGTTGCTTTCGAAAAGGACTTCCTCCTGAGGAAACCGGCTGTCCCGGCGCAGCGGTGATTACCGACACCTGTTAAGAGCATCCCTGATGTGTACCGCACGGCTGGCAGCTCTGGGGCCAATCGCCGCACGAGCCGCGGGCGCGAGGGACTTTTTCCCCTCCGTGCGGAGGGTGACGTCGCATGCGCGCGCGTACGTCTCAGCACCCCTTACGCTGCCGCGCGTGCGCACTGAGACGGAATAGCCGCTTCCTCCCGCTTCCCTTCCTCCCTCCCGCCCCCCCATATCAGTGCGCCGAGCTGATAAAGGCGCCATTTTGGACGGGCCGCGGGAGACGTGGTGCCGCTGCGGTCTCGCTCTGCCGTACGCCAGGCTTGGTGGGAAGGTCTCTTCTCGCGTTCGCGCTTTCCGTCGCCGCCATGTCGGGAGGTGGTGTGATTCGTGGCCCGGCGGGGAACAACGACTGCCGCATCTACGTGGGGAACCTACCTCCAGACATCCGAACCAAGGACATTGAGGACGTATTTTACAAATACGGAGCCATCCGCGACATCGACCTGAAGAACCGCCGCGGGGGACCGCCCTTCGCCTTCGTTGAGTTCGAGGACCCGCGGTGAGGCAGCGTGGGGCTGGCGGCCTTGCGGAGCTAGGCTGGAGTAGTTGGGGAAGGCGCCCAGGCCTTAACATAATGGGGAAGGAGGGGCTTGGAGGCTGGGAGCGAGGCGCTGTCGCCCCTGCAGGAGCCGAGTCTGGAAGCCGAGTCGGTGTGCTGTCGCCGGCTGCATGCCTCGAACGCCACCCCCACCCCCGAGCCCATGCGCAGTCCCGGAGTGGGGAAACTGAGGCGTAGAGGGCTGGCGTGGTGGTCGGGAGCCGGCACGGCGTGTCTCCGGGTGGGGGAGGGGCCGCGCCTATTATGCCGCGCGCGTGGGCTCCTGCGCCGAGGGTGCGCATGTGCGGCGTTCGGCCTGGAGCTGAGGGCCGCGTCCTCATCCCGCTCGCCTTCTGTGATCACGCAGAGACGCGGAAGACGCGGTGTACGGTCGAGACGGCTATGATTACGACGGATACCGCCTGCGCGTGGAGTTTCCTCGAAGCGGCCGCGGTACCGGCCGAGGCGGCGGAGGGGGTGGAGGTGGCGGAGCTCCCCGAGGCCGCTATGGCCCGCCATCCCGGCGGTCGGAAAACAGAGTGGTTGTCTCTGGTGAGTGGACTGCGCGTGCGGTTACCGGTCTCCCTGCATGGCCTGTTGTTTTGACGGTTACACGTTTTTTATGCTAGGTCTTAAGTTACTTGAGACTTTGGGTGAATTTAGTAATAAAGATTACTGTGGTGGTGATTTACCCAAATTAGGTTGCGGTACTAGAATATGAAGATCCTTTACAAATAAGTTTGGACTCTGGATCTCAGACTCTTACCAGCTCTTTACCTGGAAGCACTTAAGTACACTCCTTAAGCATTTTAAAACAATCTTTGTTCAAATGTACATTATAAGTTTGCTGTGAAACAGGATAATCATTATTAAGGGAAGAAAACGATCACTTTTTCAGGACTGCCTCCAAGTGGAAGCTGGCAGGATTTAAAGGATCACATGCGTGAAGCAGGTGATGTATGTTATGCTGATGTTTACCGAGATGGCACTGGTGTCGTGGAGTTTGTACGGAAAGAAGATATGACGTATGCAGTTCGAAAACTGGATAACACTAAGTTTAGATCTCATGAGGTAGGTTATACACTTATTTTTTTCTTTGGCCAGAATTGGATACAGTGGTCTTAACAGTGGAATTTGAAGGTAAGGATACAGGCAAGAGTGTCCAAGTAAATTACCAGATAACCTGGTCTGTCTTACTTTGTATTCATTCAGCATGACTGAAGACAGGTAAAAGCTTAGATCTTTCAATGGAAAGTTCTGTCTATCCAATAGGGAGAAACTGCCTACATCCGGGTTAAAGTTGATGGGCCCAGAAGTCCAAGTTATGGAAGATCTCGATCTCGAAGCCGTAGTCGTAGCAGAAGCCGTAGCAGAAGCAACAGCAGGAGTCGCAGTTACTCCCCAAGGAGAAGCAGAGGATCACCACGCTATTCTCCCCGTCATAGCAGATCTCGCTCTCGTACATAAGATGATTGGTGACACTTTTTGTAGAACCCATGTTGTATACAGTTTTCCTTTACTCAGTACAATCTTTTCCT